GAATATTACAGTAAAATTAAAAAGAAATTATCCCTGACTAAATACCAACGCATTTCAGTAAATCGTAAAAATCGTAAAAAACTGTAAATCATAAAAATATATGTAATGAAAAATTGCGCTGTGTCATAGCGAGACACGGTATCTTCATCTAGTGTGAATAAATCTTTATGGACCTCATTACATTATCGGGCGGTGTGTTAGTGACGATAAACCTATCTAAACAGTCGAGTCGGTTATAAAGAGAAACCACCGGACTACACGCGCCTTCGTCTCAGTTTGAGCTAAGCTTTCTTCGAGCGAGCTACCTACGACTGTCATAGGTAAACCATCGTTGCATGCTTAGAAAAGTGGATATTTTGAATAGAAAAGTGTACTATGTTTTAAGAAAATGTGACACAAAATAAAAAAGTATAGAATGTTTGTTGTAATATTATTGTTATATTGTTAATAGACGAAAGTCGTAGTAACTAACGAGTTATATCTGTACAACGCAGAATGGACAGATACGACATTTCTGGACAGCTTATCGTATAATTGTTAATTTGTGAGTTTAAAACGCGTTACAGTAATAATTTTAATAAATAATAAATAATAAATAATAAATAATTAATAAATAATTTTAATAAATAATAATTTTAAAATAGTAATAATTTTTTACTGTAGTTTGAATTTACTTCAGTAAAAACTTTATCTAAAGCTAGAATGCTATTTTACATATTTAAACTGATATTGATATAATCACATTGATCAATATATCAATATTTTTGTAATTAAGCGTCATTAAGTGTTTGAAAAGCCTCTCATTATATATTGATAAGAAATCAGTATTACGAAACACACTTATCATCTTAACTCCTGATAAGTTTCAACATTTTGACATTTTGCTCCTCTTTAACGTAGTAACGATATATCATATTGAATGCTAAAAATAATGAATATATAATTAACAATAAGTAAGATAGCGTTGCAAAAATATATAAAATATATAAAAATCACTAAGAAACATAATATTAAGCTAAATAATAATAATAATGGTTATAATATTTTTGTATAATTTGTTATTTGTGTATGTATATGCACAAGTCATTTCTTTTGTGAATTTGTATATATAATATTAATTATTATATCACAAATTTTACAAAATATAATAAATAAGATATGTTAGAAAAAAAGTTCAGATGAATGATACAAGATGAATAATATTCATTAGTGAATTAAAAAATGCCAAGTGAAGTCACAGATCAATTAGAAAAGCGACTTTTGTCTGTAGTGAAACAAGCTGTTTGTTTCTATTGATTGAAAGCGATGTTAAGGAGTATATAAGTATAGAGCAAAGGATTATCTAAATTATCTTACACATTCTTATTCTGCCATTCACAAAAGGTGTTTTACAAAGTTCTCTTCTATTTCTAAACATGTTTTGCATCCTTATATCATGGAAATAAAAGTGATTGAATTCTATATATAATATAATTGTGTATACCCGCGTGCATATGTACATAGCTTTATCGCGAACAACATACGTAACAGATATACGAGAAAATAACCAATAGTGACGAACAGCTAAAACAAATGGAAATAAAAAACAAACAAAAATTTTATCTGCAAACTATCGATGTTACTAGTTTTGTTTAGAGTGTGATTTTCTCTGAATCTTTTATAACTGTAACCAAACGAGCGATTATTTTAAATAATACTGTGAATAACTTCTGCAAATAGTTTTATATTCAAGGACAGTAATATTTGATAAAAGATATTATTGATATTGGAATATATTAAATAATTTGAATATCGATTCCGATGAAACTGCTAGCGCTATATGGGAGACATTAAACGAAATGTGCTGCGTAAAAAGCAGAGTGCGGGACGTTATCCGGAAGAAGATTCACTTATATGTCTATTTTGATGAATAATTTGTGGCAAGCCGCACCCATCTTTTCTCTCGTTCAATGGTCTCATCTTCCCTTAATTGGAGTCATTGAAGAAATAATTTAGAATGCTCATATATGAACGTCATTGCAATACTTGTGTATCTTATGATACCGCTTTGAGTAATAATTTAAAAATGCATGACAGAAACCAAACATGAAAGATTGCATTTATCAAGAATTACTGCATTCAATGTTTTACACCTCTTCTTCTAAAACTACAGCGCATTATCATCTCCATATTGTTATCTTATTTGCATTTTATATTGTATACTATATTTCTATCAAGGATTATACTCTCTGTATTACAAAGATTATGGGATTCTTTATATTAATAATCGAGCAATTTTATTAAATACCTAATATGGAATAACATAAGTCCGAGGAGTAAGTAAAAACGTAGAAGATTTTATTGCTAATTGTAATCGAGTCTATTACATCACTGGGTGTTTTGAAATTTCTGGAACATTATCTGGTGGCATCCTATTCATTGCATACATTATTGCTGCTTTGTTCACTGTAAATCACCCGAAATGCATCGATTCTCCCATTCGGTATTTTGTCATTATCCATCACAAATCCATCATTGATGACAAGGTAATCAATTTGTTATTAAGCGGAATAATTTACAGATTGAGCGAAACTACTCGCAAGTGGGATTTAGTGGGATCATTAAATATTACGAACAGATCTCTTGCCTGATGGCATTTGCTACGACATGGCATAAAATACGCATTGTGTTAAGAAGCTTTTTTCTCTGTGTAATATAAGTTAAGAGCAAAAAGTTATATCGTGTACTCAAGCAGCAACGTGAATGCTAAATGTTTGAAGTACATTATTGATCACTCGACGTAGTTTTTAATTAACATGTGCTCTCTAGCTTTACTGCCATTTGCAAGCATGTAATGTTTGCTTCAACTTTATATTTCGTTCTGTTTTTACATTGTTAAACTTTTTTTTTTACGCAGAGCACACTTCAGCTAAACATAATCAGACGCGAACTTCACCAACATGGATAGCATGAAATCAGGTTGGTTCAGCGAATTGAACGACCTCTGGCCCGGCGTTGCACTCTCACTGGAAGTGGAGGAAATTCTGCATTCCGAACGCTCTCAGTACCAAGACATCTTGGTAGTAAAAACGTAAGTATTTCTTCATCGACAATGCAAAATCGTTAAATGTATACGTTTATGAGACAAGTTTTTAAAATATTAAAAATTGAATGAATTAAGAATTTACGTTAAGAACTAAAAGGCATTAAATGTCAATGATTTCTTGAATATAAAGATGTTATATTTGCAGAAAATCACATGGCAAGGCTTTAATGCTCGACGGCGTGATCCAATGTACGGAGAACGATGAGTGGTCCTATCACGAGATGATATCGTATTTATCGCTATGCAGCCATCCAAAACCTCAGCATGTAAGTGTGTAACGACTGATATATTATACATCACTTATAATAATTATATTAAGTTTTAGATTTACACCCATTTATTTAAATTTTCTGCATTTATATTTTGTAGTGTATTTAAGTGTATTTAATATAGAAATATTATATTATAGGCCTTTTTTTATTAAATTTACTTTTAATAGTTAATTTAATAAAAAAACAGAGCCATAAATTCTTATGGTGATAAAATATAGATAATTATGTGCCTATTGGTCAATAATAAATTCTTAATAAATTTTTTAGTTAAATATGTAGATATTAAATATTATGTATTATTAATGCTTTAAGTTCTGTTTAAATCTTGCATGAAATTATCTTTAAAAAAATACAGATAACTCGAAATTTCTGCCAAATAACAGGTTCTGATAGTCGGAGGTGGTGATGGTGGGGCTGCCCGAGAAGTCTCGAAACACCCAGATGTCCAACGCGTCACGCTAGTGGACATCGACGACCGAGTTATCGAAGTGTGCAAACAATATTTGCCTCGTTTGAGTTTGGGTCTTAATAATCCTAAAGTAAATGTTTCCGTTGGCGACGGTTTCGAATTTCTAAGGCATCATCGTGGAGAATTCGATGTCATTATCACCGACAGTAGCGATCCCGTAGGTAAGTGTTGCAAAACTTTGTATCAATTGCTAGGTTTCAATAAGGTTCTCTTTGTATAAAAAAAAAAAATTTTTTTTGTTTCAAGATATTAAGAAGATATTATTTACTATAGAAATATAATATTGGCAATTTTTATGTTCTGTTTAGGTCCCGCCGAGAATCTCTTTAAACAATCATATTATGAATTGCTGAAGGCTGCGTTGAAACCTGGTGGAATCATTGCTAGCCAGGCTGGCACAGCGTGGATGAACTTGGACCAAGTGCATAGCACATTTCAACATTGTAAGGCTGTATTTCCTGTCGCTGCCTACGCGATAACGGCTGTACCGACTTACCCCACGGGTCAAATAGGTTTCGTTCTTGGCAGCTTAGATAATGTTAGTATTAGACATAATATATAATAATAATAGAAACTTTATGTGTGTATATGTGTGTATAAATTTCATATATTTTCTCAATTTAATATTTTAAATGTGACAATAATCTAAATATTTGTATTATTGAAAAAGAAGTTCTTTTTATCAGAGAGACAATTATAAATTATATTTGTTTTTAAACTAAATTTTTCCACAAAATGTATTCAATATCTTAATAGCTCCAATTTCTTTTTTTTTAGCAAACAAATTTGGCAGAACCGGTGAGGGTATTCAGTGACGAGGATCTCGAGCGTATGTCAATAAAATATTATAATGATAAGGTACATCGGGCTGCTTTTGTCTTACCGAGATTCGTGGATAAGGCTTTGCGAGGTGCTTAAAATATTAGCGAAATATATAGCGATATTTATTAAATTCGATTTAAAAGCAGTGATTGATGCGAAACTTATTTGTGTGTAAATAATATTTAACATGAGATTTTGTGACATAATGAAATAAATAAAAATAAATTGCAAATATGGTGCCTTTTATTAATTATATCTTTATATCTTAAATTATTTATCTATATTGTATATAAATACAAGTTAAACTTATCTTGAAAAAAATGCAAAACAAACGAAATCATTTTTTATATATTTGTTAATAAATTTTCTTGATAAGTATAATCAAGAAACACAAACATCCGGAAAATCTGCGAAATTCAGAACGTGGTTAGATGGGTCAGACAGAGAAGGAGAAAGTGGAACGAACACGTATCAAGGCTGCAAGACGACAGAATCGCAAAGATCGCTAGAGATGGAAAGCCCCACTCCAGGCGTCCCCCGGGAAGACCCCCAAAATGTTGGATGGATAGCTGGACGTCAACTTCACAGGAGGAGCAATAGTTGGAAAAACAGGCTTGGTTTATTTCAAGAAGAAGAAGAAAAAAAAAGAAGAAAAAGAAGAAGATAAATAATCTATAGGTATTTTATATTTCGTAGATATGTATGTCATGCGGTATATTCTATACTTCTATGAAACAGCATTCGTGTGTGCGAAAAATTGATAACGTTAATTATTGTTCTTTTGATTTTTATATCTTGTCAATAGAATAAGTAGTTCATTTTTTATCAGCAGTAGATAAGATAATACTAAACGAGATAAAAAGTTTGATTTTTTAAATAGAAATAGTCTCATAAAAATAGATATTTCTAAATTGTACAATGTAGTAAGTGAAATTATGTAATTGTGAAATATATGTTGTTTTTATGTGCCATTGTATATGGTAACTACAGAAAAATATGTCGGACTGCTTAACCAGTTATTGTTAATATGCCGACGGATGTAAAATCTTATGGCAAGAATCAATATTAACGCGACACAATAAAAAAATCGATTAAATCAAATAAATTATGTGTTTTATGTTTATAAATATAAAATGTTTTGCGTTTTATTGTATTCTTTTCTAAAATATAGCAAAATAATCGATGATCATTTGTATTGATAGTAACACTGTAAAAATTACAGTTTATTCGACATTAAAAAATTGCAATAATTATTCTCTTTCTGCTTTTATCTTTTGATCTTTAAAGAGAAAAAAATATTATATTTATATTAGAGACGTATCAGTTCCTTTCTCCTTTAAAAAGTTGCTCCGAGTAATCTTAGCACGAAGTAATCTCGTTCTAAATTTGTAATGCGGTTCTAACTTACTCCTTATATAAAACTTTAGATTAAAACTTCAAAGAGACGAAAGATAAAAAAAATAAAACAAAATGATAAGACTTGTCTTTGAATTGATAAAAAAGATAAAGCTTCAAAACACCAAGTTTTCTTTTCTAAAATACAGTTAAATTAAATTAAATTTACCTATGCGAATAACGTTAAATTGTTACGTTACTCGACTACGTCACTTAAAGTTAAAGTAAGTAAAAATCTTGTCGATTATTCATATTTAAAAGACAAAATTATTCGTAGCATCGCGTGAGATGTCTAGAATGATGATGTAATCGCGGAATCTCGCAATCTCTCGTTAATCCAGGAGGCTCTCTATCGAGCTCATCTTATAATTCCTACAAACGCGTGCGGGGACGATGATGCACTCTCGCCGCTATCAGCGGCGCTCGCGGAATAACGCGATAATCAGCATATTCATGAATTAGCCGCGTGAGTTAAATTGGTCAGACAGTGAATATCTCAAAGTAAAATGAAGCAAGAATATAGGCAACGGACGGCCGGACGGGCGGGCGGGCGGTCGACACGTTCGAGAATCTCGGTGAAACCCTCTGTAAACATCCGATCTGCGGATTTTATTAATGGGGCCGGGAACCGGGAAGGGGACGGAAGATCGTGGGACGTATTCTATGGGACGGATTCGCATTTCCGAGGGTCTGCGCTCGGAATACGAAGCGAAAAGAGCCCGGGCAGCCCTTTGATCCGACGCAATCTTCCCTCGTGCGCGGCTGAAGGTTCGAGATTGAAAGGATATTTAGCGCTTCCTCCGGAAGTGCATTCTGCTCGACACACGCTCGCTCCTCCGGGAGCGCATTCACTCGTACGCATTCGTTCGGCGCGTTAGAGGCGGCGAGATTAAAGAAGCCGTATGCCTCAGGTGTTCATCGGCTCGGTCGCGGTGATTGCATCGGGTGACATTATGCGCGCGTTGCGCCAGCCAGGGTCTTGTCGCTTCGCGAAGCTGCTCGGGCGAGGGATGAAACGTACGTTAAATTTGTGAGACGGGCGGACGGGACGTTTGCACGTATGCGTGCACGCTTGCGTCGCATGCAGCTTCGCCGCGAGTTACTCGAGACCCGCTTCGGTGGGCGATCGATTTTTTTGGACATCCGACGCTTTCGATTCCCGCACGCTGCCCGACACAGTGGAATATCGGGATATAGGTCAGACGTCTATATCGTTAGTGATATAGATCACGAGAGGACGCACACTGCGTGCGGCTTTTTCCGCACTCTGATTGGAATTATCTCGCTGCATTCGCGCCGTTCGTAAAATCAGCGAACTCACGGTCGGAACCGTCAATAGAATTAGTATAGAAAAAAAAAATTTAATCCGTTGGTCAACGCGCAGAAATCATTAATTATATTGTTACGTGTGTTATTGTTACGAAATTACAGCGTACTCTCTTTGTCTGGTTTTAGCCTCACTCTTTTGTTTGATACCGTTTTTACCTGAATGTTCCACGTTACGTATGACGATAATAAAAAAAAAGGGACAGCTTACGCTTACGCAACAGGCAGCGAGTGATAGCCAGCACCGTTTTGCCCGACAAATGGTATAACACGAATGGCGTGGTACGCATCACACAGTAACAAAGTTATCGTATTTGTCCTGAACTCCAAGCAACTTGTCACGTGTGTTTGGGAACGGATGCTGCGTGTCAATATTGCTAACATTGGCCGATCATTATATGCAGATTGGCGCGAGTTACACATGCTGCATTCATCCATGAAATTTGATTACGCCAATACAAATATCGCCCATTGCTACTGTGCCGTACAAAATGCGCATTTCTGCGCGACCGCTGTCGTGCGTGTCTTTGATAACATGTATATAATCGCGTGATTTAACATTATAAAAACGGCATCAATATACTTGTTAATAAACGACTTTTATCTTATTATCTTTTATTTCTATATGCGATTTTTACATTCGCGTTATCGGCAGGGAAATATTGTTAAATTCTTTTTAACTCGCATCGTGCAATCTTCGCAAAATCAGACTGACGAAGCGTAACACAATCCCTTCGTAAGTACATAACGTAATAACATAACATAATTATATGACGGAATCGGGGTTCTAACTAATATAGTGATTTATTGGACCAAGTTTAATTAGAGCAACTCCGCGCGCAGTCGTTATTTCAGGGGAGCTTGGTGGATCGTTAACTACGCTTAATCTCCCCAAACGATTCCTCTTCGATGTTCCTGATTGCGTTTCGTAAGTCGCAAGTCTGACCATCTGTCAGTATGATATTGCCGAACGAAGCAACATACCACACGCTCGTGAGATTTATAAATTATTGTTCTCTCAAAGATTGAAAAGTCAGTTTACACACATAAATCACGTAGATCAGTTTTCTTCCAGCACTGATATTGTGCGCTAATCTCTTTCCATTTCTTAAAATGTTCGCAAAACTTTTTCTGTAATTTTCGATAATTTACTTATAACAAATTCTAATTGCACTGTTAAATTATTTCATAATATTAAGAAGTGACAACAAAGAAAGCAAAAATAAGCGAATATATATTGCGCAAGTGTATATAATATCCTTTGTCTTTAATATATTTAATTGTCAAATTTGAGGAAAATTTCTAAGCCAACGTTTTTCTTGTTATTACGCATATGAAACTTTTTTAATAAAATGTGCAAGTATTAAAGTGGCTACGTAATCGACGTCGGCTTTCTTTTTATCGTACATCGTTTATATCAAATGGAGAAAGAAAAATGATGTTTCAATGTTTTTTGCAAAACACTGTTTCACGAGCAATTTGTAAGTTTAGAAACGTGACGGAAGATTATAAAGTGATTTTCGAACGAGAGAGTCTCAGGGAAAGTCTGGAATATTCTGACGAAGGTGAGGAGAGAAACTTTCCTATTCATTTTAAGTTCTATTACGGCGCACCGAGGTCATAACATCCCTTGTAACTTTTCAGATCGCACAATGCGCGTCCAGGGTACCCGCCGAATTTATTCACCGTAATATTTCCTGGCTGTGAGAAACTTTGCCCTATAATCCATGATTGGCAACGGTGTATTAAGAATAACTACGATAATGTTGCTGCACAATAATTTTACATTAAAATGTTGCGAGAAACGGTAAGAAACAGATATATTGAAGTAGCGAAAGAACTAATTTTAAAAATCGGAAAAAAAATTCTCGTCTTAATTCAGTATGTAATTTAATAATACAATAATTTGCAATGGATTTTCAATTTTCCATCGCAAATTGGTTGTATTAGTTCAGCGATTGTAATGTTCTCCGAAGAACATCTTTCGACAGATGTTCGTGCGACAATTTCAGTGTCCTTAATTATTTGCGCTATCTGCTAACGTAATCGAATTGGAAATTGTCAGTCGGTTAGCAATAAATCAGCAGCCATCGATTGAGATCGGGCTAAGATCATTATATGCTGGCCATATTGAGCTGAGACACTTGGCCAATCCATTTCTGGGTTAATGAATTACCGATGAAACGGCAAATCGACACCGCTGCGGGGAACTACACGTCAAGATCGATACCTCCGCGAGACCGAAACTCCCGCGCAATCACGAAATTCCAGGCGAATCGGCGGCGGAAACGCGTTGCAACTGCATCTGATAAACATACTTGCACATACTAAAATCGCGATCACCCTCGAAAAATCCGCGAAAGGAATTTTTCATAGCCGGGCCTCTCTGCATCACGCGCGTCATCCGATTTTGATGGATGGATTTTCGGGTTGACGAAGATTTTACGGATATATATGAAAGCCGCTAAAATCCGTGAAGCGTCGATCAATTTCACGGTGTTAAGA